GCCATCAACATAATTCTCTGAATCTCTGATAAAAATAGAATATGTGTTGAATCGCTTTGAATTTGGCCTGAATCCATCTATGGGAAAATAAATCCACAAATGAACATAGTTTGTCTTGATGAACCCTTGATCATGATACCCTGAACCACACTTCTCATAAAACACTGCTTGATAAACCACTGGATTTCAATACAAGACAAATTGACATTGAACAATCTCATTTCCTGAGAAAATAACCCACCACCACGGGTAACTTATAGTTGAAGCAAACTCTTGATAGTTTGACCAAGATGAGGTCAAACGTCCATCTGATTTAAACTTGAATGAATGTCTTTGCCATCAATCTCCTTGCAAAACCCTAAACACACAGAGAAGAAGAAGAAACAAACAAATTGAAAAATATTTTTGGTATTTTGGTTAGAGGTTAGTAAACATAAACAATAAAAAGCAAGTAAGAAACACACAAGGGTGCCGGGAGAACCATAAAGTATGATCTTGTTTGTGGAATGATATGCAAATGAAATGTGGGATCTTAGGGGTAAAAATTAGGGTATTACAGTAGCTCCTTTCTAAACAAGTTTCTTGCTCAACTTTGTCTTTTTTCTCCTTTTGGCAATTATGTTCAAAATGGTGCATAAGGTACAAGGCATGGTTTAGTCACTTATGGCAATGTTTGGTGACACGAAATAAGTAGGGTATGCGTGTAAAATAACATGAATTCATGCTGCAAGGCCAATTCACAATCTTGCCAAAGAATTATAGCATGCCATGCCTTGAAATCAAGTTCATATAACACACTTTCCTTGATCATAACTTGGTGACCTTTAATGTAAATCATGAGTTCTTGTGCTTGAATGAAACTAGGAAGAATGATGAACAAGTTTGGTGTTGATGGAAGCATGAATCAAGGCTTGGAAGGTTGATAAAAATAGAGTGGAAATCATGTCTAAAATTCTGCCCAAGGTAACTTAGAAAAATTCTAAGTTATGAACCTTTTGGCAAATTTGACACCTTGACTTAGAAGGCACATAACTTGAAGAGCCTTAATCCAATGGAGATGATCTAGTAATGGATAGAAAGCTTGAAGAATGATCTTCAACTTTCATGTTCAAGGGAAATTGATTTGAGATGAGAAACTTATTGAAAAATTCCCTGGAAACTTGGTTGAAAAATCTGTCTACCAACTTGCCAAACTTGACATCTTTGGAACCTTAATTTGGGAGCATCATAACTTGAGTTCTACATATCCAAAGGACGTGATCTAGTACTCAAAAGAAAGCTTAGAAGATGTTCTACAACTTACATGTTGTAGGAAAATTCAAATGAAGCTTGTATCACCATGAAAAATGGGCTTGAAAGTAGGCATTTGAAACTGAATTTCTATACTTAGAAAATTTTCTAAGTGTAGAAATGTCATAATCCCTTTTTTCAAACTTTGACTCATCATATCTCTTAAACCATGAATCTTTTGGACATGCTTTCTTCAACAAATTTGTAACTCATATGTCCTTTTCAATTTGATAGCTAGTTTTCCTTCATTGGATAAAAAATGAGAAAGTTATGGAAGTTGCAAAATGGCTAGAATTAAGGTTTTTCACACTTAGAAATTTTTTCTATCAAAACCCTAATTCACCCAATCTCCTGATTTTATGTTTCCTCTTGATTTTTCTTGTTCCAAACACATGAAATCACTTGAAAACAACTATCATGCCCTTAATTGACCTTGAGATCCAAGATTTAGACCCTCTTAAACCACAATTGACTTTTGTTGACCAGATGAAATCCTAAGACCAATCCCACTGACTGAGACTCTTGTGATGGTTTGTGATGACACATAATCCATGTAGGGAACCCCCAAGGTGTGTGTTGAGATTTAGAATCATGTCTTACCCAAAGAACTAGCCACAAACCTTCTTTGAAGCAAAACCTTAGCCAATTACCCATGAGATAGGAGGAGGAGAACCAATGCTTGTGTTCTTGATCCAAATGGTTGATTAAGTTGCCTTGATGATGATGTAGACCTTATGACTTGAGATTGCCACAAAGTTGATCTTGAGCCCTTGATTTTTGGATAAGATACCTTGATCCCCTATCTAAGATCAATGCTATGTATAAATGTTAATGCAAGATGGTATGAAACATAAGCCAAGATATAAGAAAAAAGATGGGCAAATTTTGGGGTGCTACACTTATCTGATGGTATTCTTTATGAACAACGTGTGTTGACAAAAAAATCAGGTACACTTTTTATTTCACGGTATTCTACTTTCTATTTCTTTACTTTAAGATTATGTGTTTTAAATATAGGTTTTCTTATACCTTAGGTTTGACACTTAACGAAGAAATACAACAACTTACACTTATGGCTATTGAAACACAATTACAAAAAAACAAGAAAAGTTTGAAGGACTACAAGCCTATGCCACATCCAACAGATTTTGTAATTTCCTTTCTTAGAAATATGCTTATTTATTATGAAAGACAATATGATCCGGTTATTCAAGAACAACTGTATTTAAATTTACACGTATCTCTTACAGGTAACATCCAAATGCATTTATTTAGTATAATGATATCATTTACATGTTGATCATACTAATCTTTTTGTTATGATTATGTTATTTGTAGATGAGCAAAGAATTTTTTTTGAAGAAATAATGGAAGTTGTAGAAAAACAAAAAGGTGGTGTGTTTTTTTTATATGGTTATGGTGGAACATGTAAAACATTTATGTGGAACACTTTGTCAGCTGCACTTCGTGCTAAAAGAAAAATTGTGTTGCTTGTTTCCTCAAGCGAGATTGCAAGTTTGTTGTTACCAGGTGGAAGAATAACCCATTCTAAATTTAAGATTCAATTTCCTACTTTGGAAACATCCATTTGCAACATTAACAAAAAAGATGAACTTGCTGATCTATTGAAGTTGACTGATCTAATCATATAGGATGAGACTCCTATGGCTAACAAATTTTGCTTTGAGACTCTTGAAAAATCTTTGAAGGATATTATGAGTAAAACTTCAAAAGTGTCTGAGAAAATATTTGAAGGGAAGGTTGTTATTTTTTGTGGTGATTTCAAGAAAATTCTTCCTATTGTGCCAAGAGGTACTAGATCAAATATTATTCATGCAATCATCAATGCTTCTTATATTTGGAATCATTGCAAGGTACCCAAACTTACAAAGAACATGCGTTTGCAAAGTGGAACAATGACAACTACCACAAATGTGATTCAAAATTTTTCTGAGTGGATCTTAAAAATTAGATACGGGAGAATGTCTGAACCAAATGATGGTTGTGTTGAAATTTTAATTCCGCAAGAATTTCTCATTTCTAATTTTTCTGATCTTATTAAGGCTATTGTTGAAAGTATCTACCCTAATCTCATTCATAACTATAATGACTCCAATTATCTTCAAAGTCGTGCAATTTTGGCTTCAACTATTGAAGTGGTGGGTGATAACAATCAATACACCACAAACCTTCTTTCAGGTACTATTAATGCTTAATGTATTTATTTCCATAACACATTATTTCTTAGAATTGAACTCAAATACAATGTTTTTTCCTGAATTTAAGGAGATGAAAAGGAATACTTTAGTAGCGATTCTGTTGATATATCTGAAGCAACTGACTTTGATGCATTTGAACACTTGAGACCTGAATTCTTGAATTCTCTAAAAACATCAAGATTGCCTAATCATTCAATCAAGTTGAAAATTGGGAGAACAAATATGTTGTTGCGAAACTTGAATCAATAAGAAGGATTATGCAATGGTACTAGACTCACTGTAACAAGGCTTGCTAATCATATTATTGAAGATAAGATCATTTTTAGAAAAAACATTGGTAACACCATTTACTCCCTTCGTCCCAAATTATATGACGTTTTGGTCATTTCACACAGTTTAAGAAATGTAATTATTACTTTATAGAAAATTGAAATGATCTGCGACTTTACAAAATTGCCATTTATTAATTATATTGGAAAGTAGACTAAATGAATAAGAAGAAGAAAGAGAAATAAATGATAAATGGTACATTAGAAAAAAAGTAATTAATGTTGTATTGAGATTCTAAAGTGACTTATAATTTGGGACAAAAATAGTATATTCCAAGAATGTCTTTGTCCCCTTCACAATCATTATGACCTTTTAAATTGGTTAGAAGAAAATTTCCAATTATTATTTCTTTTACTATTACAATTAACAAATCATAAGGTCAATTTTTAGACAACGTTGATTTATACTTATCAAAAGATGTTTTTAGTTATGGTCAATTGTATGTGGCACTTTCTAGAGTTAAAACTATAGAAGGTCTTAAAATTTTGATTCATGACAAAGAAAAATAGACTATGCATACAACCACTAATGTTGTTTTTAAGGAAGTTTTTCACAATATTTAATAGGTATTTAACTACAAAATATTTGTATAATTTTTTAGTCTTGATAGATGGCGTTCTTAATTGTCACCTAATATAAGTGTTATTTTTTATGGATTAAATATTTTTGTTCATTTTAGAAATTCATGCTACATAAACTACTATCAACAATGATTGCAACAAATGATATATTATGATTTGGTTTTTTTTTTGTCTTTCTTTTTTAATCTTTGACATTATTATTCAAATTTACCACTATATTTTATGTAGACATGTTACAAATCTTCTATTATTCTAATTTTATTTCCTCATTCCACATTATTATTCAAATTTACCTATTGTTGACATGTTAGAAATCTTTTATTATTCTAATTCTATTTTCTCATTCTACATTGTACTTTTACAATTATATTTAACATTTTTCTTACATGTTTTAAAATGATTTGAATCTACGATGTGTGTTTTCATAACTCTATAATGTTATTTGTATTACAACAACATTTTTTCCTTTTTTAAATTGCATTGTTTGAGTTGTCCATTGGATTGGAGGTGTATTACTTGGTCTGGCTTTTTCAGTCCCTTGTTATACTTACTTACTATTTGGCACAAGTGTGTTAACGGGATGAGGTGGTGCAGCGAGGGTATGACATTGTCGCTCGCTCCTCCTCCTCCTCCTCCTGTAGGTTTATTCGGCAATAATAAAAGTGGGGTGTTTCAATTTCAAAAGCCTTTCTTAAAATTCAAATTCAACAACTCCTCTCTTCTCGTTCATCGGAACCCGCCGTTGGCTGCTCAACTACAAGCGTCAAGTTCAAGGGATTTTGTTGTCGTTAATTTCTACCATTTTGTGTTCATCAAAAACCCACAACAATTAGTCGCCAAACACCTATCTTTCTTGGAATCTGAGGTTCGATTTGTGTTTTCTTTATTTTATTTGAATCTGAGGTTCGATTTGTGTTTTCTTTATTTTATTTGAATCGGAGGTTCGATTTGTGTTTTCTTAATTTTATTTGAATCGGAGGTTCTCTCTTTTGATACATGACAGGGTCTAGACATCAATGGAAGAATTTATTTGAATGAACAAGGGATTAATGCGCAGGTCACTTTTTATTTTACCATTTATTGGAAACTCTCAACATATATGTCAGTCTGATGTGATATATTATTACTCCAGTATAGTGGGCCATCCAAAGACGCTATCACTTATGTCAATTGGATAAAAGAGGATACCAGGTTTTCCGACATCCTCCTTCAGATAACTCCATCACAAACTGGACACACCTTTCCATCATTGAAGTTGCGCTATAAGCCTTCATTAGTACAGGCAAGCCATCAACTTATGTCTATGTTTGGGGATGCTCATCAATTTGATCAATGTCTAAACAACTGCTTCATTATTTTCACATTTTATTGCATTGGGACCCGTGATGTAAACATATGCAGCTTATTCGCATTGGCATAGCTTCCCTTTGTCTTTAAGTATGTTTGAGTTGAGGGTTTTAGAGGGGAGAATTTTGAACGACTAAGTCTATATATCATATCACACTTCAAACACATGTTTTTATACCTTAAATAAAAATAACTCCTCTCCAAAATCCTCCATCAAAACATGTTAGTGTCTTTGTGTATATCATAAATACCTCTCTTCTTACAACAACACTACCAGCTTATGACTTTCATTTATCTACAGTTTAAAGGTGGCATATCAGATCTTCCATTGCTCGATCCTTCAATGCGGGCGTTACCTTTATCACCTTCAGAATGGAGAGATAGATTACAAGCCATCAATAAAAATGATCCGCATTCAAAAGATTATTCCAACAGAAATAACATTATATTAGATGTTAGAAATGGTATACGTTCTACTGTTCCAAAATCAATATATCTTTATTTCCTTAATTTACCTCTTTTATGTTTCCTGTGTTATACTCTGATCAGGTTCAGACTATCTGGCACCTGAATCAAATCACTTGTGTTAATAGCATCTCTTCTTAAAGAGGACTTTCCGAATGCCGAGTTCATAGAGTTATCATTATGAGATAATTGCACATTGTGATATTTGAAAAAATTGTTGTTGCACAATCCTTTTGAGAGAATTTTCCAATAATTTGACGAGTGCCCCCTGATGGTTAGAGAGGATCTCTTACACGTTGAGGAGGAACTTTGGCAGATAAAGGTCATGGAGTGATTGGAATGGCAAGACACCGGTTTATAAAGAATTAGGCCAAATGAAAGGTATTACTCACCACAACGTGAAACTGCCCAAAATCTGGTGGCCAGCAATGGCAGAGAGAACTAAACACCCTGCATGGGTGCTGGCCAAAAATAGGCTGGGCTTGGCAAGAAGGGCATGCATGAGGTGTTCTTTGGTAGGCCCCATAAATTTGATCAGAGGGTGACCTTGAAAATGCCATGAAGAAAGTCTCTCAAGCGTGGTATCATTGATATGCACATGGTTTTCCAGCAGGATTCTTCCACCTTACATGCTACTGTAAGCCTCCAGGTGTAATGGTAATGTCAATTTTTTTAAGTAGTGACTGAAAAAAAAGGAATGTAGCAATGATAGATGTAGATAAATGATTTGGCTATGCAACCAGAAAGATATTGACAAGTGACACTAAAATCCTAAGGTTGAGTATGTTAGCAATCCAAGTCCTGGGTTGGGTTTCGGTGACTTCAGGGCGCCAAAGTTCCCGTCACTTTGTATCTATCTCTTACTAGGAATTATTCTCTCTCATTCTTTTTCCCTCCTTTTTTTTCACTTTCTCTTTCATCAAAAACAACCAAAGTCGTTGAATCCTTTCCTCCAAATTCCATATTTAAATAGAAGAAACATGAATCAACAACAAACCAACCCTTTTCTCTCCAGGTGGAGTCTGCCATATGGGTCAAAAGACCCTATGATATCCTGTCATTAATCATGTCCACAGAGTGTATAAGTCCTAATATTTCTTAATGTTTTTTTGGCTTATAGTCTTCCTCCAACTGTAGTTGAACCATAACTCTACATTAGGTATATTTATGAAAAAATTTTGAATGGTTAAAATGAATGACCAGTAAATTCAATATATTGTCAATATTTGCAACATGACCCAAACAATTGAGGATCATCATGATTACACCCTCTTGCAGACATTATGACCAACAGCTGCGACCACAGCATGGAAATCACCAGTGCAAATAAGACCACAACAAATAACTCAATTAGGTCCAAAATGTTATCATTGGGTCTGTGGTGGCCAGAAGAAGATTTGGCAGCTAAGTCTGGCTATTTGAGCAACATGTCCACTGAGCATGACTACATATGCTCCCCCACATACATCAACCCAGTTCCAAAACACAACTTGATTTCCGTCTCTGAAAGTCTTTCACTGGTGTCTGTCTTTTCTGCCATGTCATTGTAGCTGTTGCTGCGCCTATTGCATATGGGTTCTCAATTCCTATACCATGGATAAGGGGGAACTTGTCGGATTTGGCAGCTTGATGACTGCTTTGCTGCCTACCTCCGCACCACGGCGGAGAGCTACAAGAGTCTTGTTGAAAGATAGGAAGAGAGAGGTTACTGTACACAAGAATTTTGATGTAAAGGAGGTGTGGCAGCTAATTAGAAAGAGAATGAGCAACCTTGTGAGTTTCAAATTGAGGGTGCGGGGATGGGGTGACAGGTATGTATTTGGTTAGTGGTGGATTGCTTGTTTGAAAAAGAGATAACGACAAATTCCAAAGCAATCACGTGATGGAGGAGAAGGTATGGTTACTAGTTAGCTAGTATGGGAATTCTGTTAGAGAAGAGGAAAAAGGTGTGGAGGTTGCAAGTTCAAGTTCTGGTTTGGCAGAACTAGTCATGATTTCCTGAAGTTGAGACCTTTCAAAAAAGCTAATCACTTGGATTTCAAAACAAGAATCAAAAAAGGGGGAGTCTATTGTCATTCTATTGTCATCAGTTACTTGTGCTAGCTCAATGTGGACCACATGACATGGTGGTTTGGTGGTCTATGCCGGTGTTTTCCCAAGGAAACAAGTAACAGTTATTCGCCTTTACTGGTTGTATGCCCCAATTAATACCACTACTTAGTTGGGATGATTTACATCAATAATAATGTGTTAGGTCATTATGGTGGAACCCAAACAAAGGAATTCAATATTTGGGAGCATGGTGGTAGTGGATTAGGTCATTGAAAATATAAGATTGCATCCCTCTGATACCATGCTGGAAGAGAGAGAAATTGAGCATGGGCAGCACACTTGATCTCTTAGTTATAGCTTGACTCAATATTCAACATAATAATCAAAGGGGTAATTAGGAGTTAATAGAACTTTGTAGCTTAATAATCAATGGCTAACTTGTAGCCTATCCCTAGCTGTTCAACATAATGTAATTGATTATATTTTCTAAAACAAATGCTAAAATATTATAGTCTAAACAAATGTTAATATATTATAGTCTAACACTGTCTAAGGAATGACTTCTTTTGGCAATGGCATGACAGTCTCAAAAAGAAAATTTGTTGCTCATATTTATCTATGTACTATTTTATAATATTTATCGCTGTCATGGTTATAACTTCTGAGTCTGAATATAGTATTGTTGCCATTATTCAGGTTATGAGTGGGACATTGGACATTTTCGTGGGGCTCAACGGCCTAATGTGGACTGTTTTAGGAGCACTTCATTTGGATTGTCTCAAGAAGAGGTCCAGTCATATTTTGATGTTTCATTGACGAAATGTGGGCTTGGGATTGATATGATCTTATGATAAGCTGAAACATGCCATCAAGATGTATAACTATTTTTAGTCAACGTAATGCTATAAAATCTTGGCTTTTGTGCATTAAATATTAATATTGATATTCGTCAAAAAAACACTTTTAATTTATTAAATTTATTATGATACTAATGTAGCATTCTAAATTTCTAGCTACCAATATGGATTTCATTTAACTTATTTTTTGCATCTGGCTCAGTATTGTACTGGGCTTTTCATACATCTTAGATTGGGATCCATGAATCAATGGTTGTAATTTTTTCTGTTAGTGTATCCTTAATGGCTATTGATGTACTCCTCTTTATTATGCGCTTTCAGATCACTGCTTCAGACCCTTTGTCAAATGTAGATAAAGAAAATGCAAACATATTGATGTATTGCACAGGAGGGATTCGCTGTGATGTGTATTCTACAATACTGAGGTAAATTATTACTTCAGGATTTTTATTTTGCTTCCTTGCATTAATTTAGAATCAAAGAATCTAATTCATCTTTATCACTCTCACTACTAGATTTGTACATGTCGTCGTCTTCCTCCTCCTCCTCATCATCATCATATTCAGCATCATCAGTTTCAATTTCTTCAACATCTTCTACCACCATATCATGTGCCACTGCACTAGATGAACTTGCAGCTGCCCTCTTTGCTACTGTTTGCCGCCTATTGAAAGGCTCATTATTAGCCCCACCTGCATTCGTCCAAGTTAAATTGTCCTCTTGATAAACCAATTATTCAATAGGTTCACATCTTCTCCTTAATCTCCCACTAACCATTTGTTACTATAATCAATATCATTCAAGAGAATGGGATCAATCACATCATACACTCATCTCTCTCTATCTTCAGAGCTTGGTTATATTTAATGAAAACCAAGTCTTGCACTCAATTCTACTTCTCTTCTTGGAATGAACCTATATATATTATAGTTTGTAAGAAACTCGATATAATTCAATATCAAGTACTAATTTACATGCTCAAAAATACTTCAACTGCACTCACGCTTTGAAGAACTGCAATGTAACAATTATTTTCATTAATATACACACACCCATTGTTATGTGCTAAATTTGTAAGAAATAAACTTCCACTTACCAAGAGCTAATGTTGACCTTTGTCTTATCGCTCCACCCTATCCAAAGAGGCATCCGACCATCTTATATTCAGATAACCCAGCTGTAGTCATGTCACTGACACAAGGACTTTCACTAAGGGTCCGTTTGGGAGTTGGTTTTTGGAGGAGAAAGCGTTGGAGAGTTGCGAAATGTGTTTGATATTTTTAAAAAGTTTAAAAAACAATACACTACATTAACATATAAAATCATATTGTTTTTTAAACTTTTAAAAAATATCAAACACATTGCAAGATATAGATGCAACCCTCCAAAGTCTTCCCCTCCAAAAACCAACTCCCAAACGGTCCCTAAGTATCTCGATCAGGGACAGATCTAGAAATATGTGAGACGGGAGGCCAAAAATACTTGATTGTCCGACACATGTTGTATGAGTGTCATACAGGCGCCAGTCACCAATTTAAAGAGCGTCGAAGCAAAGAAAAAACCATTTTTTGGGACACTTGTTTGAGTTTTCTGACACGTGTCATGCTGCGGCATCACACCTACTCCTATAGGTGTCCGTGCTTCATAGGTATAAATTCTCCTTAATATCGGAGGGCTCAAAAATATATTGGAAAAGGATTTTGAAAGTGGGTTTGTATGCCTACTTTATTTTTTGGTGATTAATCTGTATGTCTACTTTACCTACTCGCCGAAAGGGAACGAAAACTTCATAATATTCCTACTTCGCAAGCTGTGAATGGTGAGTCACTAAGAGCATGATTGATAAAGTAGACGAGGAGAAGCAAGAACTGCTCAGTCTAAACTCTTAAACAAAATTTGGAGCTGGGAGGGAAAGGAAATGAAATGATTTGGGGGAAAGTTGAGGGGAATTGGAGGATGGACTCCCCACCTTGTTTGCAAGTCAACCACCTCCGCTTGGGGGAATCCAAAAATACAACTAAGAAGATTTTGTGTGACTAAAAATTCCCCTAACACTTCACCTCGTTCTATAAAATTCTCAAGCAAGGGAAAGACTAGCCTTAGACCTCTCTCACTTCTTCCCCCCTCTCCTAAGTCCCCCTCCCAAACATAACTTAAGGAACTGAAGTTGTGTCCTTTTTTTTCTATTGCTAATTTTGATATATTTCTTTGATGCCTTGTGACAGGCAGCATGGATTTCAGAATTTGTATACTCTGAAGGGAGGTGTTTCTCACTATATAAAGAATGAAGGTGCTGCAGAATGGATAGGAAATTTATTTGTATTTGACTCCCGATTGTCTCTCCCTCCTCCTGTGACCATTCCTGAAGGTAGGAGGACTCCAGTTTCTAGAGATGATAAGTTTGCCAAATGCTACATATGTAATGTAGAAGTCAGTGAACTGAGACATCGGAATTGTGCAAATCTTGACTGTAACTTGCTTTTTCTGTAAGTCTCTTTGTTGCATTTGTCTTCTCATAAACCAAGACTTAACCTGCTTTTTGGTGATCTATATTTTTCTCTTCAATTTGAAATATGATTCATTCAATTAAAGCATTTTAACTTTTGTTTTGCAGATGCTGCAGAAATTGTGTAGAGGATCTAAAAGGATGTTGTTGTTTGACTTGTACTACTGCTCCTAGGCTTAGACCTGCTTTAATTGGAGAGCAAAGATACAAGAAATGGCACATCTATCGTGACATGGATTTGCAAGGCAAGGTATGAATTTCAACTTGATCACCAAAAAACATTATTGTCTTGGAGGGATCAAGTTATAATTCGAATTTTTTACCTCAATGCCCTTTTTTTTTCTTTCTGAAAATCAAATCCCAAAATACCAGAAATTGAAAAAAAATTATCCAATTGTCCTCTTTTTCTGAACACACTCCTCCATTCATTGGCTGAGGGCATGAAGTGATATCCCAAAAAAAGAGCTCGGCCATTGAATGGCCGAGGGGTTAATATTTTTAAATCTTTTTTTGTTTTATGTTATTAATGCCCTCCTCCTTTCATTGGCCGAGGACCCACGCAAGAAAAAACGTCGGGTACCCTCGGCCATTATTCAATGGCCGTGCCCTTTCTTCAAATGAGTACCATGGGATTTTTTTTTTCAATGTGGGGCACTTATGGAATTTTGTTTCAGAAGTGGGACAAGGCTGGAAAATAAGTCTAATAATTCATTATAATCATTAAGTGCAATGCCAAATAAATTTTTTCCTTGAGTTGATAAACTACAAATAAATTCACGATTCGAACATGAGACTTTAAAATAAATTCACTAGGCCAACCTTGGGGGTTGTTAGATTATTTAACTAAATTTTTTTAATTTAAATGATGATATTACTTTGTTAGTGTTACACTGCCCAATAACTTCATATTTGATGCATATTTTATAGAACTGACCACTTGATTGGAAGTATATATCATATCAATTATTACTTTAATTGTTTACAATAAATTTAAAATCATATGATATGCCGTTGAATTGTGTTATAATTAATCTTAAGTACTTATATTAAATAGCATTAATCTTTATGCATCTAGAAAAACATTAGATAATTTTATTTTTTTATAAAAATTTATAGAAATAATCTTTAAAATATGATATATACTTGAGCAGTGTAAAACTACTTGTGTTACACTCGTATGATTCGATCATTCCTATTATGTATAACGACAAGGGTTGATAAAATACCTTTTTATCCAGGGGAATTGAAGTATCATGTCGCCGGTAAGTTTGTGACTGGTAATTTGCAAGGCAACTTTTAGCATAAACCCATGGTTAGATGGGTTTATGAATCTGATTTTTATGGGAATTTAACATTGACTACTGATTGTTATTGATGCTAGAACGAACATGCCTCCGTGTTATTATTGCCAATAAGTCATTATTTTCACATTGCAGTGATATAGTTTTCTTATAGTAAAAACTTACTCGGTATTATGATTGAGTAAAAGACCTTTCAATAGTACAAGTGGTGTAAAAAGAAAGACATATTTGACTTAACTACGCATGGGACGTGCAAATGTTTTTCACTTCAGAACATTTGATTTGTTTGGGTTACACAATTTGGACGTGCAATTTTTTTTCTTCTTGTGAAGTGGTTTGAGAAGGTGGGGTAACAAATATGTAAATACAAACAATATTTTTATTGAAAAAAATAATTGAAAAATAAAAAACAAATAAAATAAAATTGTAAAAATATAAAAATACAACTAAATATAAAATAAAATCAAATTAAAAGTCTACAATTTTTTTTTCGAAAATATGAAAACAAAAAATAAATTAAATAAATGGAAAACAATGTATTTAGGGTTTATAGGGTGGTGTATTGTATTTGGGGCCAGTTTGTTGTAGTTTAAAAAAATGATTTTTTTTTTTTTTGTATTTTTGAAATGGATTTTACAAAAATGTTTTTCAAATTATTACAATTTTTTTTTTAGTTTTTGTTTTTTATAGTTTTTTTCAAAATATTACAATTTTTTTTAGTTTTTGCTTTTTATAAATTAAATACTAATTTTAACATACTATAACATAAACAAACATTATTAAAGATTAAAACATAGTCAAAATCATAGTTTTTTTAAAAAGTTGTATATCAAAACTGATTTTTATGAAAAACTATTTGAAATAGCTTTAAAATTAATTGATTTTTTGAAATTTTAATATCCAAATTTTTTTTGACAAAATGATGAAATATATAAAATAAAATTTTAAAAATAACTATTTAAACAAAATTTTTGTTTGAAAAATTTTGTAAATTTTTTTTACACCAAAATATATTACATTATAAAATTTATGCAATTTTTTTTTCTTGTGAAGTGGTTTGAGAAGGTGGGGTAACAAATATGTAAATACAAACAATATTTTTATTAAAAAAAATAATTGAAAAATAAAAAACAAATAAAATAAAATTGTAAAAATATAAAAATACAACTAAATATAAAATAAAATCAAATTAAAAATCTACAATTTTTTTTCAAAAATATGAAAACAAAAAATAAAAATTAAATAAATGAAAAAACAATGTATTTAGGGTTTATAGGGTGGTGTATTGTATTTGGGACCAGTTTGTTGTAGTTTAAAAAAATGATTTTTTTTGTTTGTATTTTTGAAAATGGATTTTACAAAAACGTTTTTCAAAATATTATAATTTTTTTTTTAGTTTTTGTTTTTTATAGTTTTTTCAAAATATTACAATTTTTTTTAGTTTTTGCTTTTTATAAATTAAATACTAATTTTAACATACTATAACATAAACATACATTATTAAAGATTAAAACATAGTCAAAATCATAGTTTTTTTAAAAAGTCGTATATCAAAACTGATTTTTATGAAAAACTATTTGAAATAGCTTCAAAATTAATTGATTTTTTGAAATTTTAATATCTAATTTTTTTTTTTGACAAAATGATGAAATATATAAAATAAAATTTTAAAAATAATTATTCAAACGAAAATTTCGTTTGAAAAATTTTGTAAAATTCTTTTACACCAAAATATATTACATTATAAAAATCATTTAAAAAAAAACAAAACAAACGAGTTAGTAGTCAATGAGTTTTTGATTCTTGATCTTTTTTTCGGAATGAAATGACATAATAAAGGTTTGATTCAAAGTCAATAATAAAGGTTTGATTCAAAGTCAATTTTTTCAAAAAATCAGATTTTTTACGTTAGGTCGCGTAAATGCTAGAAACATCAGAATGCAAGTGCCGCCAGAATGTGAGGATGTAACTCCTATGACTCTAATATTGTTTAAAATTGATAGAGAATCTTTGAAAATTGTGTAAATTCCAATTTCAATGACATTCATTTTAGAAAATTTTGGAGATGTATCTTTGAATCAATTTTTAGCAAAAAAAATTGAATGGCAACTTAATTTATAAATAATAAAGTGATTTAAGGTGTGTCTAGAGATGTGTTTTCAGAAAACATTTGAAGGCAATTTTAAGTTTTTTGGAAAAAGGTATTTTCAAATAAAACTATAGTATAATTCACCATGTGCACCCCAACCCACCATAATGGACACTTGACAGATCCATCTGAATTGAACACCCAATACTAACTCCTCACTTTGTCACTACAAGTCCAAAAGGTTTCAACCTGACACCCTCATATCTTATGAATAAATAATACTAACCTTGTAATATTTTTTACTCTTTTTTCGAAATTTACCATCCACACGCTCGAATTATAAATTCTTTGGTCGATACCAAAAATTTCATTTGTTCTCCCAAAAATTTCAAATTCAGTATGTTTTTTATCGTACATTACGAGATTTGCATGAATTTCAAAATTTCTAGTATTTATGAAAATACTTTTTTCGAAAATTTCACAATTTTCTATACAATTAATCTGCAATTTTTCTTGAAAATTTCAAAATTTTCGGTAGTTACGAAAAATTTGTTTTTCCACATAAATTTCAGAATTTCTGATGAAATTAAGGAAATTTTAAAATTTTAGGGAATTAATCGTTTTTTCTTTCATTTTTTTGCAGTGAAATGCATGGGTAAGGACGACACTGTTGCAGACAAAACAACAGATATAACAGCAAACCAGACTAGGGCTGTTGAGGCCGAGTCTTCTCAAATACGAGTTGTACGAGTGGTTCCAACTAATTCATACCAGAAACGGTTGACTGAGCAGAGGCAGTTCCGTGCACCCCGTAGCACCCGACGCCGAGCGGTGAGATCAGTCGAGCAGTCCAGAGATGATGATGAGGTTGTTCATGCTCAAGATGTACTGGTTCAGGATGTTCATGATCCTGTGGTCGAGATAGATGTGACACATGTTGCTGCTGAGGTTGTTGATGAGGTGGTTGTTGATGTGGTCCAATCAAATATCTTTGTTGCAGATGATGTGGTCCAGTCATATGTCATTGTTGCTGATGAGATGACTGTCACAGACCTGTTCTCATCTGCTACTACGACACAGAGGTTACGACTCCGTCAACGGAGTCGTCTGTGCACACTGATAGAGTGTTCTCGGGAGGACCTATTGATCGGTCGGTGCTTACAGAGTATGCTGACCATGTGACATATCGACTATAGCAGGAATATATATATATATATATATATATATATATATATATATATATATATATATATATATATATATATATATATATATATATATATATATAACTTTAATTTATTTAATATTGTTCCATGGAAGCTAACTGCTAAATTTTTTATATCTGTTTGTCACAGAAATGTCCCACATTAAAGGTGATCTCGCACGGTTCAAAGTTGAAGAACTTTTCCAAGACTCTGATGTCTGAACATGTCAGACATATTGTACGTAATTTTGAACTCCTCGCATTTGCCAACTACCATATACCACAAACTATTTTCTTTCACTTTTAGTCAAATTTTAACAATGTTCTTTCAAAAATTTGAGTATGCAGCTTCATTGTGATGTTCCGAATGTTATTTTCACGACCATATTTTCCCACACTATTCAATATCAAAGATCTTTTTCATTATGAAGTTTCCAACCCAACTTGAACGAATTGTGTTTGTTGTCTTGAAAGTTAAAAAATAATTAATTTTTTTTATTTAACTAATTTGTAATTGACCATTATTTTATATATATATTTTTTATTGTTATTTTATTAAGGAGAAAATTTAGATGTAATTTCTTATATATGGTACAAACAGTATTTCAATTAAAATATGACAAAAGCACTCGAATCTCCAAATGTATTACAAATGCTATAATTTGAAAAGCTAATGAAAATATTACACGACGTTTAGGGAGTACAAATAGGAGAAAATTATACAATTTGTCATATTTTATTTGACAAATTGTTTGAACCATACATAAATAATTGTAAGTTTTCTCCTTTTTATTAATCGATTAGAAATGTGATAATATGTGTGATTGTTTGAATTTTTTAGAATAACCCATTTTTTAAAATTAAATATCAAACAAAATAATAATTTAAATTTTTTTCCAAAACAACCAACATTTAACCTTGTGTCGCCAATCCAAATGGCGAATGAGTGCAAATAGGGAAGGTGTCGCCATTTGGGTCGGCGACAACATGCACTTTTAAATGGATTCGTCAATCCATTTGGCGAATCAGGCCTTTTCCTTTTTTTCCTTTTTCTTTTTCAAATAATAATTCGTATATATTTTATAAAATAATAAATATATTTGTGATATAGTTTTAAAATATATTTAAATTGATTTAGGTTTAAATATATTTGTGATATAGTTTTAAAATATATTTTAAATATATTTGTGATTTAAAATAAAAATTGATTTAAATTAATTTAAATAATAAATATAGTTTTTAAATTATAAATATATTTAAAATTTTAAATTATAAATTAATTTAAATAAAAAATAAAAATTGATTTAAATATAATTTTTAGATTTTGTGATATAGTTTTATAAAATGATAAATATATTTGTATATAATTTTAAAACATAATAAATATAAATAGGTTTAAATTTTAAAACATAATAAATATATGATTAACTTATAATTTTAAAACATAATTCGTATATAATTAAATATATAATTTTAAAATATATAATTGTAGGTCACCTTTGTAAGGGTATTTAAGGCATATCATATGGCATATATACTATTTTATTTTTCTATAAATACGATTGCAAACTCATATATTTTTTCACAACAATTTATACCAAAAGACTAAAGTCTTAATAATTTTGAGTGGAGTGAAGTCTAAAATGTCTGCAT